CTTCATAATAAACTTCAAGTTACAATTTATGTTCATAGCAAACATAGTGGTCACACTCCAGGTTCCGATTCCGATCTTTTTTTCCTACCAGTGCATCCTTATGTTATCGCATGGATTATGGAGAACTTGAAGTTCATACTTTCATCAAGGTCGGTTGAAGCTCAAGAGAGATTTTCACAAAGTGTACCGGAGGTGGAACGTGTTACATATAGATTTTTTGTCATCAAAAAAGAAGTGCAAATACTTGCATATTCTTTAAAAATCAACGGTATTTGATTCTTTTTTCTATATTTCATTTTTTATGTGAAGTTATGAAATGCATTGAGTATTTAAATTGTACTTTAATTCTTCATGTTTATATTATCATTTTCTTTTTAAATTCTTCATGCTTTTGTTTTTAAATTTTTGATTGGATGTGTGTAGATGCACTTCGGAAAGACGATTATGATGCGGCACAAATTGAGATCATGAATTTACAAGCTCAAGGGAAGATTTTGTACTATCAACCGTATGCATCCAAGAATGAGGATCCCAAGAAGAGACCATTTGTGGTAGTTATACAAGATGATTTCATGCAAAAATTGGCCCTATAGTTTTTAGGTAATATTTTTTGGGCTTTGAATTCTACATTCAAAACAAACCAATAAGGTTTGACTCTTTATGCGACAATTGTATCAAATCAAGATGGAATTGGAATTCAAGTTTTTTGCATGCTTTGTAGCAATGACATTAAAGAGTGACATGATGGTCTTGCTATAAGATAGCATTATCCCATGTGTTTGGATCTCTAGGAGAGGTTAGACACTCTGCAATCCTCATTGACAAACACAAGTTATCTTTGAATGTTATTCATTGTTGGACTTATGAAGATGGTATCAAAACACAAGTTGGTGAACAAGTGTTATTTTGTCACTTCCATGTTATGAAGTCATGAAGTGAAAACTTGTTAATCAAGGTACCTAATGAGAATAAGGATCGGCTGTGGAGGTCATAACATGTTCAATGCTTTGCCTTAAAGAAGACCATTTCAATGAAAATTAAAAAGATTTTGTGTTGAGTTTCAACACATCATGACCTTTGCTAAATACGTGATTTCCGGATGGGTCGGAATTACTTGTCATTGAAAAAGGTTGTGGCCTTGATTTGGTAGGTTATTTTCTTATGAGGGTATGGATACAACTAACCATGTTGAAAGACATTGGAGGTTGAAAAAATACACGCGCTTACAAGGAAAAGTGAACCGATCTCTCTAAGACCTTATTGTGGCAATTGTTGGTAGTGCCAAGGATGACACTCGAATGAGCCAACTCACATTATTGAGTCAATTCAAAATGACTCAATGTTTAAGTAAGTTACTCATTTTTGTATATTATTCTATGTTTATTTTATTATATTCAATTTTATTTTTAAAAATATATTCTGAACATAAACCTAAGTTTAAACCTATTTTTTGAACTTGTAGGTGACTCGAAACAATACATAAGGAGAGGGAATGACAAGGCTCATAGACGTCAATTGAAAGGAGAAGAACAAATTTTGAAGTATTATCAATCTTGTTTTGTGGATGTCTTGAAGGTTGTTGATGAGGAGCGTCTCCTCTTTCATGTCAAGAATGAAACTTCTTCTAACCTATGGTATAGTGTTTCATTGAAATCACGTTATTGTGATTGTTTCCACTTGCAAGCACATATTTGGCGTGTAATCGATTGTGAATGTATTTTTTAAAGTACTCAAAGAAAATGAAATGGTTTAGTAACCATTGACTCCACAAATCAACATGGAATACATGTAGATTATGACTCCAACTCAACCGTATGTAACAAGGGAGTATGTTCTTTCGATCAAGAGGGAGCGGGGCGGCCCGACCTGATGCCAGGGATTGCATGGCATCAGGATCGAACGGGAAAAAATGCCCTCCCGGGGCCGGAGACCTTAACCTTTCGCCCCTAAGAATTAGTTGTGGGCTATTCATGCGGTCCGTTATACCACGCGACTCTCCAACCTTGCCGTGAAATCCTTTTTCATTCTTTCTCATTTACGCTCCAGTTTCTTTCCTGCCTCATGTGCATTCTAATCCACGACATAACAAAATGGACGTGAATGCTCTCAAGGGATAAATTGTTTAGCTTTTATAAACCTATAAATAGTTTTTATGTAAGTATTAATCTACACTTGATCTAGATTGCGTAATTATATGATGGTAATATTTGTCTGTTTCACATGCTTGTCGCAATTTGTGTCATACGTATCACATACACTTCTCATCTAATAGTAAACTGCAACCTATATGCTTTATTAATAATTCTATTATGTCCAAGAAATACTCATGAATAATAAACCTGTATCTAGTTCTTAGTTAGAGAAACAATAAACCTTAGCAATGTCCTTAGGTGATTCTAACTACGTTGTTGCATCCATGAATGAATGAAGCTTGTGTGAGATAGAAAACTACTGTCAGATCTTAAGCTCTGAGCAGCAAATTTCAACCTTTAAATTTTGGTTGAAATATTGCAATAACCATTGTTAATAAATTATTTTGCATTTGGAAGACAACATGATCATTGCATCATACGAATACGAACGAATCCGGTTTGCATTTATCACCCGGTAAACGAGTGATTAATATCACTCGTTTACCGGTTGATAAATGCAAACCGGATGTAACCATGCCAATGTTCATGTAAGGTATGGAATTTAGCCGGTTAGTAAATCCATGTTGAGAGGGGCTCCTTCTATTACATTATAGATTTAGCCAGTTGGGAAGTTAATCAGGTAATGAGGTTGTTCAAGACATTGTTTATCATGAGAAGCTGCGTAATCAATTTCGAAAATATAGAGTACTATTTGTATAGGCAAACATTCTGCAGTGTCCGACCAATGAGAGTTTAAGCCTAATAAGTACTGTACTGAAATTGATATATCCAATTAATATTACCCACACTAACAAGTAAATTATTCAGCAGCATCATCATACTTCATGTGAGATAGTTGAGAATTGTCGTGAGAAGTGTACAGACGGCCAATAGACTGAGAGCTTAATATATGTATTTGCATGGACCACATTACCGACGTAAGTACGTACGTCCAGGACCAGAGCTGGTCCTGGCTTGGGACAAGGTGGGACCTGAATGCCATTGAAACAGTTGAAACCGATGAGTCATGGATGTTTTCTGAGGTCCTTAAGGAGTAAAGTCAATGCCTTGCCAGTGGAAAGGAATGTGATTTTCGTGAAGTACATATCATTACAATTCATTAGCTGGTCTCCTGGATGTTTCCGAAATCCTTAAGCCGTAATATCCAAGCATTGCGAATGGAATGGAATGGGAATGAAGTGATTGTATTGACCGTAAATGGCATTGCAATTCATCTGCTGGTCTTCTCGGATAACAGGACAGGGATCGGCGAAACATGTACGAGAAACTGAGTGGAACAAGAACCAACAATCCGCCCTCATCCGATTTATAAGACTCAGACACGGAGGTGACCACCGGCAAGATGCGCGTGCAGAAGATACCATCCATCAACAGCCCCAAACCCAGTGAAACCATGAGATCAGAGCAAAGCAGAGAAGATGGCTGAAGTGATCGAGAGATACCGTTAGTATAGCGGCTGCTCGCATTCCTGGTTCAAGTGTCGAGGAAGCGGGGGAGTGTGGACATTGTTCACAACTATACATGTTGCTAAGGCCCGGCCTGGTCTGCCTTGCCTGAGTGTCGGCTACGGCAGTGTCTAACAGCAGGGCTCACCAGCCGTACTGATCACGAATTGAACTACAGGTTTAATAGACTTCGGTGGAAGCTCGAATGCGGGTAGACATTAATGGAATTTATTCCAGTCACGGAGATCCAAACCTTCGGAGGGGATTAGGTACAAAGTTCATGCAGAAGGTTGGTCAGTGAGCAGTCTATGTCGGTGGATTCGTTCCGAGCACGTAGGACTGTAACCCGAGTTCAAGCGCGCATCGGAACACTGATGTCCTGTCATTTTACCTGCAGGGTGTACGAGAGCAGCTGACTGGGGGCCACGGGTGATATAGTCTTCCTCTGAGCGAATTGTGAAGTGCTCCGGATCTCGTCGTTGATAACTGCTCATGTCATGAGCCAAGGCTCTCCATCTGTATCGGTTTATAATCATACGCTGATCATATTACGTTACACGCTTACAGCGCAAGGAATGTGCCTTACACATTGATTGTCGGTAACGGTTGACTCTGAGCCGCATGAGAACCCAGAGGCTCTTAGCGTACGAGAGGAAACGAGACTCTCGAGATTAGACCCCTCCGCCATAGAGAGAGAGAGAGTGGGGCGGGGGGCGGGGGGCGGGGGGAGAGAGTGTGTGAGAGACCAGTCGTGTCCACTTCACGCACTTGTCAGTAGGTAGGTGGCCGACTTACATGGAGCATACCTGGAGTGCTGGTGGCCCCAGGCGGCACAAAAGACATCTCGGTAGAGGTTCAGAGCGAGCATCGACAGCGGATGCTCTCGACCATGGGTACTATCATCATGCAGATAAGGCCACTAGCTGCGTTCGGGAAAAAGAGCATAAACTGAAAGGGTTGACGAAGATGCGGACATCAGCTAAAAAGTCATTTGAACACAATATATACGACCTGTATTTTGCACATTGTAATCAAGGATCAAGTAATGCTCTGCACATGCCATAGAATTGAGACGGGAAGATTTACTGCAGAGAAGTTAACTTCAGTTACAGCTTGCCGGTCAGCTCACTCCAATTTTCGAGTACCACGTCGCCAGGGCAGGGAGAGGACGAAAAGGACAACAGATTCAGAAGGTTTTGAATTGCGTCGGGCAGTTGAAAGAATGTACGCAGAGAAGAATGTCAGAAAATTCCGAAATTGGAGCTGTCAATCGTACTTGTCTTGTAGATGCACTATGTTGTGCTAAAGAGATTGCCATCTGGAGCTAAACTCGTCTTATACAAGAGGGGACTAATTACACCTTAAAATTGCACTCATGAGGTAGCTAGACTTCAAGGATTGCGGATGGGCTGATGATGAACTCAGACTCCTTCACGCGGACGTGTACTCGACGGCCGAAGTTAACGAATATGAGATGGTCGGACGCGGACAGTGATAGAGAGACACAACTTCATTTCAGAATACCGGGCTCACTGACGATGGGGAAAAACCACCATAAACTCAATTGGCTGTTGAGTCTAAATTGGACGCATATAAAGCCTTCAGACTGCAGAAACCGAGCTGATTTATTGTGATGAGTGTCAGCGTGAGCAGTTTCTGCAGTTCCGTGTAGAAACCAAGAGCACAGCTCATGGGCAGTTATGAGTAACTAACGAATTGTAGGAGGATAAGGGAATCTGTGTTCAATCAAGTTTTGGCTGAAAGGTCAGATGTCACCGAACCTTTACAACCCATCTGCTTTAGCCAACTTTCTGAAGCCGTGAACTGTATCAATGACCAAAACCAGTTCTGAAGCAAATCCGAAGAAGACTGACACTCACGCTGCACGGAGGAGTCGAAGGAAGCTGGAAATCATGCCAGTCAAGCGTATAATATGTGAGTCGTCTTTTTAAAGCATACATGACGACGTGCTGCTCTGCACGTCGTCATGCTGGTTGGAGTGTCACTCCTGTTCGTGTACAAATCTGAGACGGTCGATGAGCTCGTTGGTTGAGAGACGTGGTGTCTAATTTATCCATCTCAGCATTCACTCTATCAGCGACGCTATGATTTAGCTACACCCGCTCTTGGCTTCCGGACTTAAATGTCAAAAGTGTGCACCTGTATCTGTATATATACCTGAGGCGCAGTGTCAGCAGAAGGTAAACTCATGAGTTTCGCTGCTGCTGTACCGTCGTTGCGCTGTTATTGTTTCGCTTTCGTGATCGAATCGGACTCTGGAGCTGAATGTCAGAAGGAAGGATATTCAGCTAGCTTGTCTACCCACGTCAAGTTTCTCAAAACTCGAGTGTAATCATACAGGCACGCGCCTCTCACACAAGAATACTTCTATCAGCGAGCTACAGTGTCAAACTCCTAACCCTCGATTGAATTGCTTGCTGAATTTTTTGTCGATCGGCCACTTATTTCGGTGCCAGTTACTCAGGGAGCTATGCATTGTTCTTTTCTGGATTGAGAGGTTGATTGAGAACTTGACTGAAAGGCCAAAGGTTCCCCATCCCGATCCACTCTCACGGGCATGAGTCTATCACATCATGCATGCTTTCTTGGACAGACGGGCGTCTGAGTTTGTTACGACGTGAATGTCCATAGTAGACGTGAATACTGCTATCATGAATTTTGGACGAACTCACTTTCTGAGCATGGCCCGCATAAAAAAGAACGTATCCAAGTGTTGGGAACCCGGATATGGATATCATTTTTCTTCTTTTACATTTGGGCGTTGCAGCTATTTTTAAGTCTAAGCATGGGCCTTTTAGCTTTGCCTGTTTGTTTGCTTTTGTTCGACATAAATCCTAATGTTAGACGTACGTGGGTCCTCTCGCAGAGCCCCATTCTTCTTCTTTTACAGTTAGTCATTGCAGCTACATGCAGCTCTGAGCATGTTCCTTTTCGCTTTCGGTTTGTATTACTCGGATCGTCATGCATCCTCATGTTAGATATACGTGAGTCCTCTAGTAGCGCCTCTCTCTCTCTCTCAGATATTTATTTCTATATTTATGAGAGATTTGTGTGTAGAGAGCCGTGGGCTTGGTCAAACTGCAATACCAAGAGAAGGAATATGTTACTACACAGGTTTTCACTTTTCCAGGCATGGTGATAGAAAAGCCAGAGTGTGCTGCCATTAAGGGAGCCAACATCAAGTTGAGATAGAAGAGAGAACAGCCTTGCTGCGATAAACAAAGATGAAAAGGAGATGCAGATGATATCCGTGGAAGGAGAAAGAGCATGCGAGCGGTGGAGAATACAGCTGTGTACAACAAGCGTACCAAAGGCTCGGACAAGAGCTTTAAACCCAGAGAGTTCTTGCAATTCAATGTAGGCCGTAACTTTGTAATTGGTTTCACTACGGACGGCATGGGGAATAGCATGGACTGACATCTTCTACCGAGTTCCCAATTACTGGGAGTTGCTCGATAACCTTGCGTCAGCAATACCACCAAATGCCTGAGTCTAGTCGCAACCGATAACCAAGCCTCGAAACTGCAAGATCTCTGAATGAGCCATGCACTGATGTATAGTGCGTTTCCATTCGTCCAGTGGAGACAGAGGGAGAAAACAATGAGCTCATCTCCATCGACCTTTTTGCTTCTTTTGCTTCTTCAGCTTTATTCTTTCAGAAGTCCAATTTAAGTACGCTAAAGTGGACGACATGATGAAAATAGATTCCAGCTTTTAAAGTTTAATAAATGTCCCATTTGTTGATGCCCATGTTAGGATTTCATTGGGGGTGCTTCCGCAGGACTTGTAATAAATAATGCGACGTTCTAGCGGGACCTATTCCCAATCGGGGAGGTCCAGCAGTCTGAGTCTCGTCGTTCTATCGTTCGGACTTGTCTCTTATCAGCTGCTGCGCTGGTGGTGCTGCAGGTGTGTGGTGACTGACCATTGATAGGATTTCAAGAATTTGAAGCTCGTTTCAATAGACAATGGCAGCGTGGAGGAGTGCCAACGTGCTCGTCGCATTGCTAGTGGTGGCTGCAGCGTGGATCCACCCAGGAGTCTTCACGGTGGAGGGAAATAACGCTGCCAGCTCTCCGTTTCCAGCAATTATCCTACTCGGAGATTCGACAATCGACGTAGGAACGAACAACGATTTGATAACAGTGATAAAATCAGATTTTCCTCCATATGGAAGGGATTTAACTATGCAGCTGCCCAAGGGCCGCTTCTGCAATGGCTTGCTAGTCACCGACTACCTTGGTAAGGAGTTTCTCACCACTCATGTTCAGGAATTTTGATTTTTAGAGCAGTGTAGAATGCAGACTAAACCCAAACCGATCGTGGCTAGGACCTCACCACAGTCTGACTCATGGTAAACATGAGCTCCGAAGCACCGTGCACCGTGCGAGATGTACACAAGCACCCGAGCCTCTATGTACAAATTTACAACATACGTGGTCGTTGCATTCGGTCCACGTACACTGCCATAACTGTACCAAATTCAGAGGACCACAGCTTTCACTCTGCAACCGCAACCTTCCAGAGACTTGTCTCTTATTCTGAACAACAGTTATCGATTCTGCTGGAACTATATTCCAGCCAAGTTGGAAATTTTCTCTTCTCGTCTTTCGTTGTACAAGAAGAGCTGCCAGAACGTAATTCGACACCAGCTAGTGAGATACGTGGGCTCGTGAAGGAATTCTAGCGGTTGTTCAGAAGATGTGTCTGTGGATGGCTGCACAACTTAGTATTGGCTCTTTGTGTTATCAATACAAAGAGCAACAAGCATTGCGTATCTCTCGTTTCTAAGGGATGAGATCGTTGATCAGACACTGCATGGTGTCCTCGTATTGTGAACTCTTGCAGCGCAAGACTTGGGCTTTCCATATCAGATACCGTACCTGCAGAGAGCAGGACAAGAGCAGAAACTCCTCACAGGCGTGAATTTTGCATCTTCGGGTTCTGGATGGGTAAACCTTACCGCAGATACATACGTAAGTGCTCTATGACCAACCTTTCGCGAATGTCTGGAAGGACTTGAAGGACATATATCTGGAAGTGTTACAACCGTTCAGAGAGTGGAAGGATAAGAGATTTCGTCCGATGTATTTGTAGTGACGCAACATCCGAAAGAATTTATCGACAGCTTTTTCCGAGGATTTTTTTAACCTTTGTCATGGGATTCGTGGGATACCTGAACAGAACGTCATATCATTCGCAAAGCAGGTTGACCAATTCAAGGATTACAAGAAGGAGCTGATTTCCATGGTTGGTCAGACACAGGCTGATAACATCATAAGCAATGCCCTGTATGTGATAAGCACTGGAACAAACGACTACGTTCTCAGCTACTACGTGAATCCTCTAGTGCAAAAAAAGTACTCCATTCCGGCGTACCAACAGCTGATCAGAGATACTGCTACCGTATACCTCCAGGTAAATATGGCATCTTTCAACCCATGCTTCTGTCGGTTCTTCAATCAGTTGCTTCACATCCTCTCAGCAAAAGTTGCGTTTCATCTCCAGAGGAAATTTTCACGAACTGAACGCCGAGGACAGAGTTTCTGACCGATGAATTGGGTCTCTATTCCTCTGATCTCCTGTACAGACTGTAACTCAGTAGTTAAAATTAACGACATTGTTCCACGAGATGATCCAGACTTTTTTGTAGGTTGTGCTGTGAGGTTGTGATTACCCGTTCCAAATTGGTCGTCTCGAGTGAAGTAGACGTAATTACTTCTCGTTTCTTTGAATCTACGACAAGTTAAGTCACGGTACTTTGATTCTTCGTTTGTTGCGGTACAACAAATTCCAGTTAGGACCTCTGAGCTTTACGGAGTACTTTGTCCTGTTCCGAGGAATTGATTCTAACCCCTAGGAATTGGGCCTCTAGCCCTCAATCCACAGACAACTATCACCAGTTGCAATCGTCTGACATCATCTGATAGACGGAATCCGGAGGTGTTCGAGAAAGTCAATTCCACGGACTAGTTCGCCATCATCATCATCCTCTTGTAAGACCAGAGTCTCGTTTGACTGAATGCAACACTAACTCCTCTGACCCTTTTGGGATCGGGGAGGGGATGATTCTTCGACTGCAGAGCTTTGGCATTCAATTCGGTGCCGATCGTTTCGATAGGTTGGAATTTTTAAAAGGTTTGAGCCAGAGCCTCAGAAATATGATTGTTTTCTGAACTACGGTGAATCCACCGTGAACTCAGAATCAGGCCCATAGATCGGAACAGTTGACTGAGAATCTAGGCACTTTGCGATGCAGCCACTGAGTCTGCACTGGCGTGCCTACAGACCGAAGCAGTTACAGAAAAAGTGAAGCAGCAGTCGCTTTTTGAGATGAAGGTTCCGAACACGAGATCATCCTCGTGTCCGCATCGGAGCTCTCGGTGCGTTCTATGATCCCGTCATCAAGAATTTTGTACGCATGTGGCGAGACGCACGCAAACCCATGCATCCACTCATGATCGGAAGGGACTCGGACCACGCACGGATTCTCCACGTTCGCAGGACCCAGACTCGGGACAGGTGACTGATCCGAGAATTAGGCCTTGAGCAAAAACCTGCAAACTCTGGAAACTCTCAAAAGTGGAAAATCAACGAGTGACTCGGAATGTTGTGCAGGATCTCTACAATGAGGGGGCGAGAAACTTCGCCTTAGCTTCTCTGCCTCCTCTGGGCTGCCTACCGGCCGTGATCTCCATCTACGGGAACAAGGGCTTGGGGCCGGAAGGATGTGTCGCTCCTCTGAACGAAGTAGCCAGGGCCGGTAACGACGTCTTCCGACATGTTTTCATGCCCAAGCTCGAAAGGCAGCTGGTCGGCTCCAAGTTGGTCTACTTAGATGTTTACACGGTTCTGTTCGAGCTCGCCGCCAACCCCCGAGCTTTTGGTGATCCTCTCGACCTCACACTCTCGAGTCTGTTCGCCTTTCTCACTTTCAGATCATTGTGTGCGTACATTGAGTACGGTCGATGCTTTCCAGTCGGGTTCCGATACTCGATGAGAGCTCCATCCCATCCCATCCATGGCTTCCCATCGATTCTATGCTTTCACAGCTTGATCTCTGCTGGATTGATGTAACTGCATTCAACTTTCCATGCTCAAGTTGAATTCAACTCCTCCTTCATCGAGAGAGAGAGAGAGAGAGAGAGAGAGAGAGAGAGAGAGAGAAGCCCTGCATGTAGAATTTGAATTTGAGTCTGAAATAATCACTTTGAGTTTAGTATAATTGCAGTGGGCGGAGAACACCGGCGAAATTTGACTTATTTCTCGTGAACAGGTTATAAAGAGGCTAGAAAATCTTGTTGTGGGACTGGACTGGTGGAGGTTGCGATTCTGTGCAATCCAGCGAGCTTTGGAACTTGCGACGACTCGAACGAGTATGTTTTCTTCGATAGCTTCCACCCGACTACCAGAACATACAAGCTCGTGTACGACGAGTTCGTCTGGCCTGTCGTCAAAGCAGCTTTTAATTTCTAGTTAACGACGACGAGTACCTCCTTCCTTCATATCCGGACTCCAGATCATGTACTGTAAATCAAAGCCGCATGCGTTCCCATCCAGTAAGTGCTCTGAAAGTCAAGTTCAGACTTCTGTAAGGCGCCACAGAAACAGAGGTTCCAGAATCGTTCATCCTTCATCATCAGTGGGCCATGTGCTTCACACTTGTGCGCGGCATCGAGCTCTAAACTCCATCCAGCCCTTATTCATAATGGCTGCTCTGGCATCTTGTAGACTGAGTCCTCTTTAGTCATTCATATACTTGACTGTATAGAAAATTTATTTCCTCAAATACCCGTGCGTGAGCTGCTTGGACAAGCATGTCTTGGAGCAAATGGACGAGTGGACTATTACTGCTACTACTCATGATCTAGTGCTCGATGAAGGTTCGACTGTGAGCAGACGTAAAAGTAGATTGCTGGTTAACTATATCCAGATATGTATTGCCAGAAGATTTCAGCATTTATTCTGATTTGCAGCTTTTCATGTCAAACGGTACATCTGTCAACAGAGTATCACTCACACGACTCACCCGCATTCCTTCGACTGTATGTGTTGCGATGATAAGAAGTCAGAGAAGATCACTCCTTCCTTTTGGTTCGAATTCATAATGGTAACTAATGGTCACACAAGTATCGAAGAAGATTGTGTAGCTAAACACCCGCAGTGCTGGAAGGCTCGTCCGTATGACGCAGAGGAAAAATGTGTACTCGCCAGGACAAACAAACCTTGTCTACGAGCGAAGGAGATTCACGACGCTCTCCATGGTCCAGACTAAGGAGACATGTCGAAGACATTTGGCCGCTTTTTGCCCCAGCGGCGTCAGCGAGGTCAAGCCTGAACGGCTCCATCATCAGATCCATTCGCGTTCTGGCACCGCCCATCACCCTGCAAGACAGCTCCGGACACCTTTAGATTTGTCCCGCACCGCGACAAATCTAAAGGTTTGCGCTGTGTTGTCAACTTCTCCGGATCGGGTCTCTTGGAATCCGAGGAGTTGCGAGAATAGTTTGTCCTGTGATTGCCCCTGGGCTGCGCCTCATGCGTCCGCATATCGAGATCGTTTGCCATAATAGCGGACCGCAGAACTGGAAGATGCTAAGAAGAGATGAAGCCCAGAAGCGAAGGTGATAATTTCATGATTTCTTTGCAAACGAAAAGAAATCCTCGCAATTCCAAAGCGAGTCCAACTACTCGTCATTATTCCTGTCAGCGAAATGATTATTCGGATCATTCGGTGTTGTTACCATCGAAGCGACCAACTTTTGGACATTTGGTACTCTTCGGTTCTCTCAGCATTAATTTGACTGCACGAGAGGCCGAAAGCAGATCAAGGTGAGACCAAAAGCACATCGAGAGACCAAAGTGCGAAGCAGAAAAAGTAAGAGTAAAAAAGTGAATTTCCATAAGAGTAGATGAGACTTTAGAGGTGAGAAGAGTGAAGTATGAAATACTCGAGTTGGATTCATGAGGTGATTATTATGTATGCAATATTCGGTAATTCTACTACACGCTCATATGCCACCTGGAGACAGATCGTGAAGAGGCATTCCAGAGATTAGCCGAATTTTGAGGGCATGTAAGTTCTTAAACACCTACTGACCAAGTCAAAATTATTAACTTAGATTCAGATTGAGATTAACATAGATCTAGATATGCGTGTTGGACTGGATCTAGTTGTTGTAGACTCACGTGGTGGGCAAGACTTTGTTGAAGATGAGCAAAAGATTCAAAGATGCGGCAAATTGAGACTTGGTTGTACAATCTCAATTCAGGCTGTGTACTCCAATCCTTCCAAATTTCTATGATATTTGTTCGAACGTACAAAACTCGAGAAACTGAAAAATTATCTCAATAGATCATGGTGTGTTGTCCTAAAATCTACAAAACAAACATCATTGAATCCTTGTGTCATATGAAGGTTTTATTTTTTGCATCACAATTATGTATGGGTAGGAGGTCTAATGCAAGGCGACGAGGTATGATGAGTTAATGCTATGAATATTACAAACAGCATGAGGACTCGTGAATTTGACCCATCCAAGAGCATATTCTCCAAATGCTAAGATCTTTACTTCAATTGATGTGTATGTAAGTTGGGGTAGTGGCATGCATGCACTCAATCAGTGTACTGAAAATTCTGTTAAAAGTCATGACACGTGAAAATGCAATAGCATCGATACCGAGAACCAGCCTCTCTTTCGTACAATTCATGCGAATCACAAATGGAGATACATACCTAGGAGATTCTTCCGTATATTCTTACCGTATATAATGCATTGAATATTGAAAATTTATAATAAACTAGAAATCACTGTATAAATATATCTTTCAAAAAAAATTCAGAGCTTTGGCATATATCGAAAAGAGTGCAAGTAAGTCTCTTTGGATGCAAAAATGAATCTCATAAACCTTGTAATGTAATAAACAGTAAATTCCAATCATGATACTACCTATGTTAAAAAAGTGTTATAAGCTAAAAAAATACCTGTCATCTTGATGAATCCTAGTATAGTTCTCAATCAATGAAGAAAAAGCAAGGATTGAACATTGGTTGAGTAGTCTGGACTTTGTTGTGATGATAGTTGAACGATGAGAATGGTATTGGATGTGAGCAAGTATAATACTTTAAGATGACGAGTTGAGTTTAAGATAATTTCTTATAAGCAAAGCTAGATTGTTTGGGCAGAACGGTGGATGGAGAACACAATAATAAGATTTAAACACATTTTGTAATATAAAAGATGAGACCTAAATGGAAGAAGCATTGTAGTCTACAATTATATGTAGTTGTCAACTCAATCTTATGTTTCAAATACGTACAAATTATTTCGAAAGTTGGAGAATTATCCATACATTTTGCAGAGAGAACAAAAAAAACTTACCAAGTGTGTTAAAAAAACAAGAATTTGGAAGATGAATGTAAACAAATATAGAAATTTTAAACTTGATATTGATATCAAAATGAAAATTCTGTCAAACCCTACGAATTAAAAATAAAATAAATGCTAGAATAAAGTAGAGCATTCAATTTTGATAATTTCATTAGAAAAATATAACCAAGGAAACTTTTTAATTTCAGATTATCAAGATCAATCAAGCAAAAACCTTTAATAACATCCAATTAGGCATTACCAAGTCTGATTGGATTCTTTTGTAAATCTGTGAACAGTTTACTTCATAAAGCAATGGATTCTCAAAACAGTACACCATATATGTTAAAAAGTATTTTTCTAGATTCTAGTATGATAATTTTTCACATAATTTTTCATGAATATTTTGAAACATCAATATTTTTATATCATTTCAAAACCAGAAATACAAATCTTTGAATTTTTCTCATATTCCTATATCTACAAATTTTGGGTTTTAATAAAAAATATGCAAAACAATATTTATCTCTTTGAATCTACCACAATTAAAAAATAATAAACTTAATGTACATGATTATAATTGAATCGAACATGGTAAATTATTAAAATTGAAACATGAAATACACAGGTAGATATTTCACGGTTATAGAAATATATAAAAACCCTAAAGCAGAATGCCAACCTTCGCAAGGTTTTGGCACCTCCGTATCTCTCCTTGCGATCCAAACCGATGTCATTATGACGAATTGGTAAGGAAGTGGAGCGGCTTCTTAACTTATATCGAATGTTCTGATAATCCTTATAATATCAAATGATTGTTTTTTCAGATTGAATTTCATATCAAAGCTCTTTCTAAATGCAATGGTCATTTTCTTATATACTTTTGCAAATATCACATATTTAATAACATCATGGATAAGCTAAAGTTGATTTCAAATCTAATTTTAAATGTAACAAATGAATACATGTTACAGTTATAATAGTATATCATATACTTGAGCAATATGGATTAAAAAAATACAAAATCCTAGCTAATCATATTTAAAATTTATTTTAACGACTTTTAAAAAAGCAGGATAGACATTTTTCTACAGCCATAATAATGATAAAATAAATCGCATTTTTAATTTGAATTATAACTTCATGTTTTGAAAACTCAAAAGATTGTCAACTTTGTAAATATTTTCTTGAATGATATAGATAATGACTGAGCAAAAAATTCTTATTATTAAGAATAAAATAATAGATTTAATAAATTACGAAATTTGATAAAATAAATTTTTAAAAGAGTATATACTTTTCAATCATAATAATTTAAACAAATTATATCGAAGATAAATTTCAGTAAGAATTTATTTGAAAGTCATGGTATAAATTAATTCATGTTTTGATTTAACTTTAGTTGACTTAACCCAGGTTAATTCAAATAATTAGTTTGACATTATATAATGTTCCTAGTGATATAATTAGATTTTTCCTAAAAAATCTCAGTACATCGGTTTGATGTAAATCACATAATTCTTTGTGTCGGCAGTCTTCTTATATTTTATCTTTGAAATGAATTTACATTTGCTCGTGTATCTAACTTAACAATAAATTTTAAGTTAAGTATATCTTGAATAAATTTAGCATTTAGTTTGTAATCGCATATCTATATAAGCATGCATTAGGTTTTGCTTAATAGAGATAAAATCCTTTACATGTAGACTAACAAATTTATTGGAAAGATTAGATAAAACAATCTAATAACACAATAATGAAGATTTGAGTTAATACTTAACACAAAATACTTTTAAATGTGATTTAAAATATGCATCAGATACATATGATGTGTTTCTCAAATCATTATAGGTTCTAAATGTCATCCAAAATATTAGTTGGATGAAGGTGATGAATTTATATAAGTAACGGTAGATAAGATTTTTCCATAAGAGTCAAATGACTTCAAAAGGGAAACATGTGCATACATTTTGGCATGAGATAAGTATATGTTTCGCATATTTTTGTTAATGATAAAAATCTGGTTTTGATAGAAAAATTAAAGAAGGAAATGAAGTGCTCACGATAAAATCCTAAAATTTGAATGATCTTTAAAATAATAATTTTTTGAGTATCTGTTATATAATAATATTTGTTTAAAAAAAGATTGAATCTGAAAAATATATAACATGAATCAATTAGTAAAATAAAACCTTCGATAGTGATTAAGATAAATTTACGTTTTAGAATTAACAATGGAAAATATGAAGTGGACCTAATAATATAAAAAAGAGGTCAAGAGAATTGATTAGAGAAAAAAGAATAATATCTGGCTACTGCATTAGTTATGAATATAATAGCAATGTTTTCAAGTATTGACTTTTTTAGGTGGAATTTTTTTATTTATATAATGAAATACTAAGAATAGATACTTTTGATTAAGTGAATCATGACAATTTGAATTTGGCAAGTCATATTGTCATAGCCTTAATTTACAGCAATCAAATATAGCTTTTTTGCTCTATTTTATTTCGAAGTCTTTAGTTTTTAAGTTTGAGAAGTTTGTGTAAAATTGTTCATAGTGATTGGATGATGGTATTATTATTATAGATAAACTATATGAGATTTGAAATCTACACGGGATGAGAGTGAGTACGATGTCTTACCATTTTCACAATGAAATCAATCTCGTGTAGATGACACACGATTGATATGGCACCGTTCAGTTTATATGATGGCCGGTGAAGTTGAATCTATTCCCACCATTATCTCTTTCTGATTTGAAAAAAAAGCAGCGCTTATATCCTTTCATCAAGAATTGGAGGAAAATGCCGCATTTTACCTTAGTAATCCTTTGTTGACGGAGCGTATATCCTTTGTAAATGAAATGGAGAATAATGACGCAGTTTCCCTGGACATCACTTATTTTCAAGTTGGATCATGAACGTCTCATAGCACATGCATACGCACCTCGTTTTCTTGTTCTTGTGTTGGTGTAAAAAGTCATCTTTTGTCGAGCTCTTAGAAGTAAACTCTACAAAAGTGCAGCTTGATGCAGCTGATGCACTAAGGGTTGTGAAGTGTTTGCTCAAAAATCTAGATCACGAGAAGAGTGAGAATGGATTAGAAGATGACAAGCTAAGTGATGAACAAGCTTGAGATGACGGTCTTCACTTAATCTGACAAGCGAACGATATAATTAAGAAATAATCAGATTTCACATTCGAGTCATCATGAACATGATCTACTCCCCAAAATCACGGGAAATTCCACCCTCCAACTGCTGGTGCTTATATTGTTTTGTGGAATATCTGAATGTGCTTGTCTGCGAGCTGCAGCTTGTGACACGCGGACTCTGGTGTAAAAAAGGACGTGTACAAGGATCAGATTGTGGAGCAAAATGTTCTTCCAACATAGATTCTTATGCTACAAGCAGAAGTTGTCGGCATCGATCATGAACCGGTGATACTCATGACACTCGGTTCCAGCCCTCGTTCACAGGACCGTAAAAATCAAGATAGGAGCTTTAAGCACATGTCGTCGTAAACGTCTGATAAAGTTATTGAGTTTAACATGCCAACAAAGTTAGATGGAATAGTCTGAATTTAAAGCTTCAGATCAGATGAGGAAAATTGCTAAATTTGATATGTGGCAAGTTATAAGGAGTTAGAGTGAAGAATATAACTCACCCTCAAGAGCTAAATATATATACGTAAGGCTTTTATGCACACATTGATATTGATGTCTGGGTGAGTATGAAGATAATCATATGAAACTCGGAAGATATATTATCCTGTACGAATCAAACATGGTGATTCTATTCAGTTCAATTACTGCAGCACGAACTCATAATGTAGATTAAGATAGGATAATCACCATAACATCACGATGAAAACCACTTATATTAATATCTGAATAATGAATGTTAAATAGTTCGAACAGTACATGAACAATGAAATAAAATATCGTATTCTTCTCTGTCAAGCTGAATGACTTAATAATTTTTTGGATATGAAGAAATGATTAATTGAATAATAGTTTAAACACAAGATATAAGAGGTTTTACCCGCCGCTTAATATGGTATACTCTCATCAACATTCACATCGCATGAACCTGTCATATTAAATGTTCATAAATATGTAAAATTCTAAAATTGGAAATAAAAAATCGAAGCACCCTATAAGCGATAACAGACAAGAAATTTTTTTGTCTGCTATCATTTGGTTGTCATCCATTTATTAACATGTTACATATACAGAATATTCAGTTTAAGCATATGCATATCTTATTAACTTGTTATTAACCGTAGGTAGTTTTGCGGCAATCCGAATGAATGGGACCTATCTAGAATCTATGCAGGTAACCCGTGTGTAACATGGGTTCATATGGACCCATGCTAGATCTAACACGAATTTATAAAAATATGCGATCAACGAAGACGGGTGGACCAAGTTCAGATGTAATAAAAGACAGCTACAATGGAAAAGATAAGAGTACATACTATAATGCCTCGGAATAGGCTTATAATACTTACAGGAATGGAAAGGAAAATTCGAGGTAAACAAGGTAGCAAGCGGAGCGAGAGTCCACTCCAAGAAACACACCACGTCCGTGGATCTGAGTATTGACCGAACGAACGACCGAGGGACCTGGTCGGATGTACGCGCTTTCGGGCTTAAATAAAGGCGCTGCCATCAATAAGAACACGGCTGCTCGCGCTCCGCGCACATGCACATTCCAAGAAACTGTTCGGCGTGGTTGCGAAAGCGGACGTGGTGGGACTTCGTACAAACGCACCAACCAGAACGCCGATCCGGTTCGTTGGGCTCCGGGCAGAGGGCGTCGATTCCACATATTATCTTTGACAAATGCCTCCGCAGCGGTAGGACGACCGAGTAGTACAGTACTGTCCTACCGAAAGCGTACTCCATCCACGACGACTGACTGACTGACTCGTACACAGCCCGGCCGGCGGAAAGTCGAGCTCTCGCCCTCTACTGCGACGGACATTTATTACAGCGAGGAATCATTGCACAGGTCACTCGAAGATCAGTTCGTTCTCCGCTGCCAGCTGCCACTGTCCTCGCCCATGGTGTCCGCGCGCTCGCGTCACGGAGATTGTTTCCGCCGTAGGTCAAGCCTGAGGCGAGCACAGTCCCGCAGACCATCGCGAGCGAGTGCGTAGACTCGAACTCATCTCCTCGCCGAGTTTCAAATCGCTCTCGATGAAAGCGGCACGAATTTGAAAGGAAGCGTCGCCATCTTTTACCCTTCTTTTACTTATAGATTTTCATCTCAATTGTTATCTATAAGAGCTTTTCTGTTAGAAGGAAATTTTAGTGGAGGAATTACAGGACATTTTTTGATATAATATTCACCACTGTATGTTTTATTAATAAAACCTCAGCTATGAACTTTGTTGGTTTGAACATATATATTATTCTATTGGTATAAAATTAAAGAGACTGACGGACCGCCCGACCGAGCGAGCGGAACGAGCGAAGGAAGCCCCGCAAACGCCTTAACGGTAACGAACGACGCTCCAGCCAGGGCCGGAGAGGAGAGAGTTTGGGGCCAGACCGAGGGCGACGTACGGTACGTGGGGAATGTACTGTGCCCTAGTGTACTGAACTGTGGTCGACTGCCTCAGGGCGGGGTGCAATTTTCGCGAAATCGGAGCGGGGAGGAAATCTCGCGGGGGAAATCTTGCGCGCTCGGTTGCATTGCGGGGTGGCGACGCGATCCGAGCGATGGGGGAGGGACGAGGAGGACGAGGAGGCAAGAAAGGGAAAGAAAGCGGTGGCCGGTCAGAGCAGAGCAGAGCACGAGGAGGAGGAGGAGGAGGAGCAGCAGCAGCAGCAGGAGGAGGAGGAGATCGTGAGTGCGGTGTGCGGAAAGCTCTAGCTTGATCTGCAGAGAGGAGAGCTCGGGCCGGGGACCTGGGACCTGGGAGTGGGAGCTTTGATGACTAGTCATCATCAGGTGGACATCACTTCTGCATGCATGTTGGAGTCGTAGTGGAGGTGGTGGTGGTGGTGGTGGGGATGGTGCCGGTACTAGTTCGTCGAGCGAGGAGTAGTGTAGAATCGAAGCGAACCGATCCTGTCGCGCGAGCGATGGAGTAGCAGATGTTGAGGAGAAGCGGTGACTGGTGCTCAGCAGCCGAGACGGAAAGATCGTATCTCGATGCCGCGCGAGGCGCGGAGCGCAGAGGTTGAGAGTGACCGCCAGCGCCAAGGAGGACTGGATTGCGAGTCGCGCTTGTAGATGTGCCAGGGGAGATTTGGATTTCATCTCGCGGATTAAAGAGGCGGAGCGACAGGGAGGCAATTTGACTCGAAAGAATTGGACGAGATCGGCGTGCCGGTGTTGGTGATCGAGACGAGTCTGTAAGGTGCTCAGTGGCGAGAGCGCACAGGGCTGTGAACAAAGCGATGTGAGAGCGACGCAGTGGAGTCTGAGGCTTAGAATGGGGTGTGTCGGATCTTCGGAGAAGGGCGTCGATGGTGAGTGAGCTCATTCACTTCTTGTATTCTGTCCGGTTATTTGTCTTCCTTGGATGTCGTTTGTCGCAGTCTGGAGATCGATGCGCCTGCGAATCAGACCACTTCTAGTTACGAAGTTCGGCACAGAGTCTGTAACTTTCTATTCGTGTGAATGTGGCGAACTCTCCATTCGTGTTTCCAGATGCTTCGAAATCCCAACTGCTACGCGCAGGCACTTTCACCTCCAGTGTATGCTAGTTTGTGCTGAGTTCAGATGCGAAGGAATATCTCTCAGTTCGCTGTGAAAATGGCCTTGCGTAGATGATTGCTTGGTTCCCATTACAGTTGTGTAGGTTATTCTGGTGATTTTCGTATGTTTCTGTGAGTTTCTTCGCACTCGATTGCGCAACGGGACCTCGCGCTACAATTTAGCCAGGTTTTAGTCCTCTTGTCACCGGACATTGTTGCTGATTGGCTATCTTATGCACATGGAGTTATTGTTAATTGATTCATAGGCTTCCCATGCCTCAGAGTTCCATCTACCTAACTAGGCGCAAGAAGGATACGCAAATTATTTTCTTATTGTGCGGTTAGGGTCATGGTACCTGCAATTAGTGTTTGGCTGACCAGGTCTTGAAGTTTGAACCTTGGTTTGTTTTCCTGCATGCTTGCACGACACACGTAGACGGTGCACAAACATTATCAAATTAATGTCATCCAACCTCGATCACTGTTGATCGGCACACGTCGAAGAAATGTCCCTCGTATGTTTGAATGATGTTTTACCACTTTGCTTGCTATGGTCGTTTCTAAAGAATCAAGATATATCACAGTTAACTAGAAGACAAGAAATTCGAACTCTCTCCTCAGATCTGCTGCTTAATTGAGTCTCATTCGGTGCATGGTATCTGCATCCCTCTTTACAGGGTTGTTTACCTTCCACGAAACCTTTCGAACACAAATACATTCATGTAAGTAAATGGACCGCGCGGGGAGTATGAAATTCTATGTGGAAAGGATATCTGCTTTGCGCCATGAACGAGGAGTGGTTCCCCTTGTTTATGACATTCTCGTTTTCAAGTGCATTCCCGGCTGTTGTTGGACGATATGTGAGCATTCGATGTGAATGCATTCTCAGCTGGGGTACTCTATCTACAAGTTGACTTTAAGCCACCAGCCATAGATCTGCAACTTATTTGAAGTTTGGGATCCATCAACCATATGTCGCTCCTACACATGGGTAGAAAGAAGGGAAGATATCTTCAACTACATCTCTACAAGATGAGCAGATTCAGTCACTTGAGTACTAAAGTGCACGTTCGGTGCAGGGCACCAAAAGAAGATCAAGAAGCCAAAGGTGTGGAAGCATCCAGAATCCCTCACTAGGGCACAACTGAAGCAGATGCGAGACGAATTTTGGGATACCGCGCCACACTACGGTGGCCAGAAAGGTCCGAGTCATCTACATTTATGCCTCTTCTTTTTCTGAATACTTGTTGGTTCTGTGGAGGTCAGGAGAATCAAGTCACGTCTAGAGTCACTTTTTACCTCAGCTACTGGACAAGCCAGATGATCGAGATTTTCCGCTCTTTGTCAACTAGGCCCCTCACGTGAACGACTGTATAAGGGAAGTCTGGGTAAGGATGCGAATTCAGGCTGATTGTAGTGGAAACCTGGTGGGACGTGTATCCCCGTATTAGCAGATGGAGCTTGTACAAGCAAATTGTGTGACAAGCGATAGCAGTGTTTCCCATGAGTTTAAATCTAGCGCATAGCACTGTTAGGGAAAGTTATTGGAGCCTTTAACCACATCTGCGAGGTGTTTGTAGTACCGGGAGAAAGCTGACAGGTGATTGGTTTAGTAAGAAAGCATGTCCTGTCTCCATTCACTTCAAGGATGTGAGTGATGGTCTGTTCAAATGGAGTACCACACTCGTTGAATTTTTTACATCAGAGTTACTTCACATTCAACTTGTATGTAACGGCTTCTCTGCAGAAATCTGGGATGCACTTCGTGCTGCAGCTGAAGCCGAAATAAGTCTAGCACAACTCATTGTTGACAGTGCTGGGGTCATTGTCACTTCAGAGGACTTATCTACATGCTATGATGAACGAGGTAAGAACTTGCAGGGCGTACCTGTATTACTTCCGCCGTTCGCTTCCTTTCTAGAAATCAATCCCTCCAGTAAGATTACTTAGTGCTTCAATTTTATTAAGTTGCGACTTAGTCAGTTTACCTCTTAGTTTTCAATTGGTTCTCAATTTTCTCAAGTTCAACTTTTCTTCTCTCTATCGTCTTAGTTATCTGCCTCACTAGCCGTGCTGCTCCACTATGTGCATCTAGAGCTCCACATCACGGTGTCTCTCGAAATCTCGTTCTTGTGAAGACAAGCGGATGTTGCTGTTGTTACTGCTGAAATAAAATGATGGCCCTTGCAGGTGCCAAGTATGACCTACCAAAATACGTGCTGAGTGAACCGACAAATTTGAAGGATGATTAGCAGGAGAAGTCTGCAATTATATATGGCTGGTCCTTTGCCATTTTACGTGCAGTAGACTGGTGACCTTCTACAGGAGTTATCTTGTTCCATCCTGCACCCACATGCTTCAATTTGCGGAGCGTTCAGCAATCGACCTGTCAGAACTTTAATGTGGTTTCACGGTCGGCTTTGTTCGAGTAACGATGTACTCGATAAACGAGTATTGCACGGTGGGTTAGTTTGCTGATCAAACACAAGGACCGTCGTTGATGAATCAAACATCATCAAAGTGTATTTCAGGGAGAGGACAGAGAAGTGGTCCCTTATCCGCCACGGTGGGGTATAGACTCCATCGTTTGAGATTATCCTTGACTAAGGAATTTCTGGCGGTCAAATCGTTCAGGGAGTAACCACATGAATGCAATTTTCTTGTAAAGATAGGAAACCAAGGCAAACATCCAGCTCAGCTACATTCGAGCGATCCTATGCTCTTGTAATCTCCTGTGGAAGGTTGAGAAGGCTGTCGGAGTACAGAATGCTGGTTGTTTTACACTCAGATTTTTCATGTTTTTCAACGTTAATCTCCTCATCTTATGACTCGCGGCAATCGACCTGGTCAGGAATTATCGTTTATACGAACATATTGTTCATAAAGACTAATTCTGAATCCTTTTTGTAGATACTTGTTTTTTAAAAGCTTCTATACAACTCTCGGTGTTATTGACTTTGGTGTAGACCGAAACACTTATCTGATTGTCGGAAGTCTTCAATCTATTTGTGATAAAGTACGTTGGTCTGATGAATCTTTTAGCTTGGAAGCATACGTGTGGAAGCACTGTGAACAGGTATGGAGCATATGAACGTTTCTGATGACCAAGGAATGGATCTAGATATGTTCTTATTCTTCCGCCCGTCGGCCTTTCTAAACCTGTCATGGTTGCTGGAATGCCCTGTAGAACGTATATAATGGTTGTTTACAACATATTGATCATTGTGTCTTAAGGATACTCTATATCAAGTCGTTGGGACTCGTTATAAATACATCTGTTGCATGTTAGCGGCTATCCGAGTTGATCGCCAGCAGACCCATTGATGCTCTAGCAGCAGGCATGGTTATATTAGTCGGTGGACTTAATGACCTAAATTAAGTTAATTTAGTCGCATCAAGAAAGTCAATCTAGGTTCTTCGGTGCGAAAAGTAGCGTAATTGAAAGCGAGTGAGGGGTTCAGAGGTAGAGGGAGGGAGAGTCATCATCATGTGGGGCTTGCAGTTCGGGCGAGAGAAAATTTAAGTTATAAACTTGGGAATACAACTCGGTGAACTATGAGTTTGTAGTCGGGCTCCTGCGAGGGAAAATTTAAGTTATAAACTTCGGATTACAACACTGAACTATGAGATTTGTCTGGCAACAAGATGATTCAGAGTTGAAATGTCACGAGCTCCAATTATGAGTCAATTACACTAGATACTATGAATTAGTTTCGACCTCAGAATGAGCATTTTAGATAATTTATTAGCCTCTGTATAACATCGCCTAAAATAACCATGCCTGTTTATAACCTAGGCAAAGGGAGGATTCTTATTCTCTCTACTTCATTTCCTGCCACTCATTGACACCAAAGTATTCGACGAACATAGCAAACCATTGTTCATAGTTATCATGCGTATTTTTTTGATGATTTTCGACTTGGCGTTGTCGTTGATCTGCCTTACTTGACGTTACAGTCGAGAAATGATGCACAGGAAGCGGAGAAGAACACCTTATCAAGTCTCTTACAAGAGCATGCGATAATCTTGCTATTGATTCATATGACAATTACTATGTCATTTTACTCTAAGTCTTAACCTAGCAGGTAAAATCCGACGATTTGAACACAACTAAATGTTCAAATTTTACATCGTCGATCCATGTTTATAAATATCAGAGTAGCATCTTATGAGTGGGCGAACGATATGTACACCAATAAGCACTACTGGTAGTATTTTCTTCTTACTTAAATAATCAAAATATGCAGTTCGCAACAGTGATGCTGTGAAGTATGATCAAAACATCGGTATAGAAGAATTGCTCAAAAGTCACCACAATTGAGACTCATGACATTCAGGCAATTATTTTGAGATGAAGGATAGTTCCAACATGGGTTCAATTTAAATAGGTGTTATGTGCAAGGCTAACGTCTGAGAAGATGATATTTAAAGTATGCTCAATGTGAGACACCATGAGGTAAGAGGTGAGAAGCACATAGCAGGATGGGAGTAATGGTAGTTGCTACAAGCTCAAATGCTAACAAGAACAGTTGCGATTTCTTTGAAGACGGTAGGGATGGCAAGCAAGATATTGTTAAGGCCAAAGGGTATCCTGTGATATCAGATCAAGACAAAGACTGGACCTCAAAGAGATAGATTGATAGGTGTGTTGCAAAGTAACAGAAAAAAAGAAAATATCTTTGACTCACCATTGGATTTTTGTCCTTTGGCAATTCACGCCAGAAACTCGTTGATCGATCTTCTCCAAGTGCATCGCAAGTGACTACATCGGTTAATTGATCATCATGGTAAGTGGAGATTCCAGATGAAGTTGCTTAAGTGCATCTAAACGCTTAATTATGATTGCCAGTTTGATACTCTCTTTGTATGCATGTATGGATTTCTGTCAATAGCTAGGGCTGGATATTGAACTTAATAGCATAGGAGGATTTGAGTAATTTTCCAAATATTGCAAAGTTATATCTATAAGGTGAAACATACAATTCTATTTGTTCTTAAGGTTTAGTTTCAATGATTTCTAGATTAATTTTTGTGGGAATTTACATAAAAAATATCAATCAATATATCCATTCTCAGACTAGGAATATTTTTTTTGTCTATCAAGTAAATGCTATTAAAAGAAATTTATAGAAAAAATCTATACCTATCTGTGTAGAAGAACCAAGATTGTTTGACATGTTTACTTTGAAAATAAATAATCAAATAAAATAATTAAATGATTGTTGACATCTTCATATGAATTGAAACAAAATTTATACATATCTAACAAATCATTCAGCATTTCGTTGTATAAAAAAGATCCCTACGGAACACATTAGATCTTTTTTTATTCATATTTATTAGGCAAATAATAAAAATGTTAGTTTCAATGTTCTAGTGTTAATATTTGTATGCATGAAAAATATATCAATTGAAATTCATTATTTTTTAACTCTATGGAAATAAAATGATCATTTTTTCAAACAATCAAACTTGAATGCAAATTTTCACCTGAATTTGGATTTAAGATAAAAATTTAAAATATTCAAAAAAACGTAAAGAAAGAAAAATTATTTATCAGCATGTGTTTAATGGATTTAAAATGGAAAATTTAAAAATAGTTTAGACTTTTTAATCAAATATTTCTTTAAAAAATCAGCTCAAGCGCTAATGGATGTAAGAAAAAATGTTGTCACAACTATTAATGAAACAATAAGCAATATCATGTATTAGATAAATTGCACAATACTTGATTTTACTCTAATCATGAAAAATAGATATATTATTGATTCAAAAGTTGATGTTTTGAAAGTTTATTTTTATTTATGTAGTCTATTTAAATATAATTTAAAAGACAAAAATTTAGGATTAATACTAATATTTCTGGTTTAGGGTTTACAAAGTTGTAAACTCAAAACCCTAAATCTAGATATATATTCATACGGACGAGATTTGTTTCACATAAATTGACATAATCAACTTGTAACCCTTTGGAGTAGAGCAATAGTTGTTGTTCCAATTTCATTATTCAAACTCGAATGAACAATGTGACTTTTGTGTAATGGTTGTGCGTTGCTTAATCTTTTCTTTTGCCTTAACAATTGATATTTGAGCAAGATGGTACAAGGCGACTAGAGATTGTTTGCATGTAGAAGTAGTCAACTGCGCAATTGTGTTGGAGCTCGTCGTGACGATGAAGAATCAAATAGAGAGTCCAAGTTTTTAGAAAAAGATATTCAACGGTAGATTAAGGTGAGATTTAGAGCATCAAAAATTGATCTGATTTCAAAAAATCAGAAATCAAAAGGGATCCGTGGAGCAAGTCACCTCAAACTTTGACATTCTCTTTGCGATACTTTAGGTTTTGTCTTGCAATGAACAAATAAACAAATTGATTGATTAGTGACTATGTCGTGAAAATCTTCGTGAGAATTGCGAGCGAGCTAGTAACAAAAAACAGCGAGCTGACGAGTGAGCCAACAGCGAATGAGCAACTACTTGACAAACTAGCTAGCAACAAACAATAGAAAATGGGCAATGAAGCAAACATCAATGAAGCAACCATTGAGCTAGCAAACGAACGCCTAACGACTGCGCAGGCAAGGAAGGCACTAACATTCGGGAGTAACATTAAGGTTTCAAAAAAATCACCTAGGAGTAAAAACGTGCTGAGACTGTCAAACAACTTGCAAGAATCGCAAATGAGCAAGAAATAGATTGAGTTGTACAAGAAAATTGCAAGAAATCAAGGCCAGTGACGTACAAGAAACTCAAAAAACAACGAGCAAGAAAAAGACAAGGTTGCTCAACATCAAAGCGTTGGGCGTAATAGCAAAACGAGGCCGGACAAAAGTGAAAACGCGAGGTGGAAAAATCACAAAGTTGAAGCCTGACCATGCACAAGATTGTGCAAGGGAGATGATTTCACGACCGGCTGCCGCGAATCCTCAATCGGATGTTCAATGGTTGTAAAATCCTAACAATGACAGACGGTTGATCATTGACCGTTGACCGCCATAATCTTTCATCTGGCATAATATTTGCTTTGACAAATTATTTTTACATAGAATCTCATTAGAGATCCTTGGAAAGTTAACAAATGAGTGAAAAGGAAGATTTTATCACTCAAATATATTTGTCATCACTTCTAGCATTCGTCGGATTGAGATGTAAACCAATAAGTCCAAAGGAGTAGGATATGAGATTGTTAAGTAAAACAAACATGGTGATTATTTGCTTTAGTAACGTTATGTGAAGAAAAAGTTAAAATTCATGGTACTCAGCAAAATGTTAAAGTCAAAACCTTCTACCTTCAACAACAAGTGGAAGAATCTCTAGCTAAAGGCCGTGAGTATTGTCATTCTATATCTACAACTTTTGATCTTGAAGCACGTGGAAGAATATGACGAGATCACTACACTATTCGAGTCTCTTGAGCGACAATTTCATCATAAGGAATTGTTAAACATGTTATATGTCTTCTTGAAGCTAATGAACTTCAAGATGAAAAATTATGACACCAATTTCAGTAAGATCAAATGCTGTATGTGTCAAATAGAACTAGAAATATCCAAGGATTTTTAGCTTAGTCATGACTAAAGCTAGTTAGTTATGACTAAATCTAGCTAATTATAACTAAGTTTATCAAATTATAACTATGTTTAGCTATAATGTCTATACTTGGCGGAAAAACTAGAGAAGTTCTAGAAGATTTGAGCATGCATTTCTATTTCGTCTTGTACAAAAGTCTAGATTCCAAAAGTAAATACTTTTGACTTCATGTTTAGTTTTGATTGGTTTGACTAAATAATGTGGACTTCATTGGTTAAACTAAATCTAATGTTGACTTAGTGGCAAGTGGAAGTTCTAGAAGTTGGAAAGTCATAAATGACATGTCACCACCTCAATCTAAGGATTAGTAAACATCTAGAAAGTTCAAGAGGCCAATGACATGTTGCTATTGATAAT